AAGAAGGGAGAGATCCCACTTCTTTTGACAATAAAGCAACTTTTGTAACGTTGTAACAGAGCAAAATATTGAAATACAGAGGTAAGGAGCCAGGTTGGAAGGAAGAAATAAAGGATTTCACAGATGAACTCCATCTTTAAGGCTTACCATAAATATTATTTCTGTCCGATTGTAGGAAGTTTCTTGCAGTGCTTTGGCAAGTCCTCTTTTTTCTTGTCATCATCAAAATATGTTTCAATGGATTTTTTTTTCACGTAATTCAAGATTAGTAGTACCCTTTTTTTTCAGAAGCACCTTATTTTAATAAAATACTTCAATGAAACTCAAAATTTTGGCCTGAACCCTGTTTCTTTGGAAGGCAATGGCATTTTTACTTTTGGCCTCAGTCAGACCATAGTTGGGCTGATAGTGAAATGGATGGACAGTGTATAGGTATATTGTGGACATCTGCATATTGACAGCAGAGAACACAAAATTCACTCCTGTGATTGCCATTAGGAACTCAGGGGAACCTGAGCTGGTCCCACAAGCAGGGATAGGAAAAGGCTTATTCGCATTATCTCAATGCACCCGAATTAGGGGTCAGATACAAACGTAAGAAGAATGATACAGATTACTTACCCTGGAAAGCAGACTGTATTAGACAGGCATCTGTATTTGATGTATGAATTTAGATGATGATGTGAATACCCATCTGAGCGTGAAACCTGTTCCTGGTGTTACACAGCTAAGGCAAGGGCGTATGCATTTGACTATCTGACTAAGCAACGTGAAGGCATATTCACTGCTAACTGGAGTAACACACCAAACCTAGACTCGTTTCACCAGTATCACAGAAAAAAAAAAAAAACAAAACACCTTGTGTGAAGGGAGAGCAGGCAGACTGCAGCCACTAGATGGGATAACAGCCTAGCAGGCAACGCAGCTGGGAGATAACTGCAACACAGAGCCTGCACCCAGCCTTTGGCCTGAATTGCTTACAAGGGATGGGCAAGTAAAGCACCACCCTACGTGTTAAACCGGCCGCAGCCATGGTCAGGGAGTAGATTTAGGAGACTATAAAATCTCTGTAAATATTCATAAAACTTCTCTGTAATTGCTCAGTTCACATTCCAGTATTTTTATAGCTCGACGACTGCGTGGTTCCGTAATTGAACGCGCCACATTTGCGACCATCCCAACAGGGTTGTTTCAGAGCTCTTGCAGAAGCTGTAACGATGTAGTGAAGGGAATGGGTGAAACTCTTGAAATCAAAGGATGTGGTTTAATTTAAATCGGAAGGAATTTGACCTGGAGATTTCTGTGTTATAGAGACAAAAAAACAAAAAACAAAAAAAAGTGATAGTTCTGCTTTAATATTTACAACACATCTTTCATGAATCTTTAACGGCACTGTTTATAAAAAATGCATTAACAGTTCTGTTTTGCTTCAGGCAGGGGATCCTTTACAGGATAGGCAGCTTGATTTGGATCTTAATGATGACGATGTTCCACCTCTGTTCTGTGAATTAATGCATCTGGGAGACAGACTCCAGAGCAAAGACGTAAGAGCAGGAGCTTGGCCTTTGCACATGAATATTAAGGACAAAGCAAGAGCTTTTTTCTCCTGACAGCTTAAAGCAGCTCAGAAACTGCCCAAAAGAGCAGGAGGAAAGCTGACCGCTAAGTAGGAACATTGACACAAAATAAGGCTTCATAATTAACACCATTGTCATCCCCCCACCCCAGTTTGTGTATGTGTGTGGTTCTCTTCTCTCTGCTTTTTCTATATGGAACTGTTGCATTTCCCTTATTTCTCTTTGTACAAGTATGCCTCTTAGAAGAGGGTAGGGATTTGGTTGTCCCAAACCCACTTGCAGACCAAATGATTGATTACCATCACATCCAGTCTCTCCCAGAAGCCAGTACGATGCTGCAAACCTTGCTTCCATTGATAGGCTGCCATAAAAAAAATCCATACAGCCAGTTAGAGACTTGATATGAAAAGGCTTTACATAGAGGCTTGCACGTGACTTTGCCAGGTAACAGAAAGCTATTTCTGCAGGTTAACTATTTAGTATGAAAAACAGTGAAGATGCTCATTTGGCAGGAGGCAGCTGAAAATTCCTCTTACATGAGTTAAGGATCAGGAATCTGTAATACTTAAGAAAATGTAGGACTGAAATATTGATGAATCTCAGGCAAATCCCAAACAAGATGTACAATTCCAAGATTAGCATGTTTCTTCCACCCAAAATCCTCTTCCACAAAAGCAGTCTGAGGATACAGGGTTGCTGAAGATGTCCGGCTGGTGTGAATAGATCACAACTGAATTCAGGATGGAAAATATTTTGGGGCATCACAGCACTGATTTCTTTTCCAATGAGAGGCTCACCTGCCTCTGAAACCATAATAGAAAAGATTATGGAGCAAGATGGAAAGAACATTCTGGATGATCCAATTTACCTTTCAACATGCAGGAGAAAGAATCTGATTTTGTAGCATTTTCAAAAGGATCTAGAATTACAAAACTAAATCAGAATTATTACTATGTATGAACAAGAGATACCCTACTGATCCTGGATTGCCAATGTCCTAGCCAGAAAACAATCATATATTAATAACTTTCAGCCTAAACAGCCACAGCAAGCAAAAGCATAACACGAAGGAATCATTCTAAGATTTCAGAAACTGCTATTGGCACTGGCTGCTGTCATTTCTCACTTTTAAGAATTAGGTGTTATAAGGGAGCTTTTACTTTGGAAAGCACCAACTCTGCCTCTTACACTATGACAAGCCAGGCTCTGCTAAAAATAGCAACCAGCAAGGAAATTAAATATTTTTTGTTATGGTGCCATTTTTTACAAATAAGGCATCACTGGAAATACATCCCCTGCCACCCTTTAAAAGCCCTTTGCCCCCTGCTAATTCCAGCTGAAAATCCACCCGGTCCAGTGTGCTACCAGACACCATGAGTGGCCCCCACGTCTCCAGACTCACGTGGGCTTGTATTTAAAATAAATGGTGCAGTTGTTGCTGAGCAATGGACACAATTCAGCCTCTCCATGCCTCCTCCCACTGGTGCCTCCTTCTCAGGACCACTTCTGTTCGTCCTTCCACCTCTCACCTGATTTCCTTAAGAGATCGATTCAAGTGCTCAGGATAAAAGCTCAGGATTTCTTTGGTTTGAGGAGATCTAACAGCAAAGCAAGACCCTTTGACAGGCTACGTGACTTGTCACAGGTCTCAGAGGAAATCAGCCTTCGACATGAGACCTGAGCCCTCGTTTTTTTTTTTGGGTGTTTTTTTTTTTTTTTTTTTTTTTTTTTTTTGTTGTTTTTTTTTGTTTTGGTTTTTTTTTGGCATTGTGTTTCCACTCCAAGTGCATCTATTATTCTTCCATGGGCACCGAAAGAGATGTCAGTCACACTGCTAAAGGACAGAGGGGAGCTATGGGAATGAGAACCCTCTAGAGTGACACGGTTTCATGCTGTTTCTTTAATTTTTTGTCTGGCAAGTGAAATATATTTCACCAGAAGGTGGGAAAGGACTTGGAACAAAATTGATCTTGGCTGAGCAAACATTTGACAACGTTCTGTAGGAAACAACCATCTGTCTTGGGAGATATCAACTCCAGGAGATATTGATGGCACTAAAAATATCTGCCTTAGTCCACAGTCCCAAGGCATTCAGTTTTCAAGCATGGAGAGCCTCAATTCTTCAGCAGTAAACCTTTTTATTTATTTTTATTTTTGGAGTGTTGACTTACCAGGTGTGCAGTGAAAGGCTCCGGTTTGTTCAAGATGCAGCTGCACATGTTTTGGTGCCTGGGCTGAGTGGAAACTATAGAAGAGTTGCAGAGAGATAATTAATATGGATTAAATGGAAAAAGGGCTTTGTGCTCTGCTTCACAAGTACAGACCGTACACAGAGATAGATGTCTCTATCTCAGAAGAGCTTCCTGGAGCAGTTTGGCAGGCTGGTTTCTTCTGAGATACATGAGAGGAGAGAGAGGGAAAAAAAAAAAGTAATCTTTGAAAGAAACTTTAAAAACGCACCATGAATTCAAAACAGCTTTTTACTCCTCACTGACAAAGAGGTTAATGTATTTATTGAAACCGAGAAGCAGTCCTCATCCCATGAATCATTAAGATTTCGACCATTTCACCTTCCATGTGTGGATAAAAATCAAGATAATCCAAAGTTTTGCTAGGGAGATGTGAAGACAGGGCAGCCTAAATTCACCGATAGGTGTTTTGCACAGAACGTGGCAGATCCACTTTCATACCTGTGATCTGCTGGTCTCCTGCTGCCCAGGCAGGTGCTATTCCATGGGCCTGTAAAGTAAGCAACGGTTATTTTTACCGCAAACTGGAGGTCTTGCTACCAGGAGATATTCCTCTTTGGAAAAGGCAGTCTCTTGGCCATCAGGGTTCTCTGTGGGATGTCAGAGACCAGAGGATTACAAGTGAAAGCCTTGGCCTGTTGTCCCATACCTGCTCCACTGCCTGTTGCTCTCTCCACCTGTGATCGGCACAAGCTCCCTGCCAGAGCTACACCAACATCCACAACTTCTCACAAAGAGCTTCAGCTGCAGCAAGAACAAAATACTCGCTCATTCTACAGAAATAATTTGCATTTTGTTCTTTTGCACCCTACCCCATTGTATTTCCATTTCCTGTGATATTCATTAGGGTTTTTTTTTCTCATTTTCCAGTGGGTTTCCCTTTGGGGGAGTTTTCCCTTTTTTAGGTGCATCTGAGATGGGTTTATTTTTGTTGCCCAGGAGAGCAAATAACAAGTGCCACATACTCATGCCAAGAGCAAGAACAAGCGATGCTTCCTGCTGACATCCCCCTGTCACCAGCAAATGTCCACCAGTGAACCCCAGAGCTGGATGCACTTTTTTTATCGCTAGTCTCTGCTAAAGAGGACTTCAACCCCACGGGAACCTGCGCTGCTTACTTTGCAGAGGTATGACTGTTCAGCATAATCAAATGATCAAAAGGCGGGGACATGAAAAGGGACAGGCTTGACAGATCATAACCTTTTTGTCATGATGAAGAAGGCTAAGATAAGCTAGACTGGAAATTATACTTGAATAATAATAATAATAATAATTAAAAAAACCCCTAATCAACGCATGTTGAATGCCTATGGCTGCGTCTTCTTCAAAAGGTGACTCAGACGATATGAAAGAGATTAAGAAAAAATATTAAAAACAATCAGATATTGCAGGGATGGAGGAAAGAGATGCAATGACTACTTCGTCCAGATATACTCAGGTAGAAAAATAAAAGAGGGTGTCCTAGCGGTATAGTGTGCTTGACAGGACAGATTTTACAGAAAAAGAGAACGCCTGCTTCTGGAGTAATCAAGGAAGGAGACAGAAAAGTGCTTTAGAAAACAGTAGCTCCATGACCCTGGAATAGTAAATAGCACATGTGTAGGAGGGAAAGAGAGTAGGGGTTTATTGGGCAATTGGAGCAGACCAGAGCACTCTGGGGAACCATAGAGATATTGGATCACAGCTAAGAAAGAAGTGAAAACACCTGAAAGAGGAGGGCAAGCAGGAGAAGGGATTTTTCCCTGCACATATAGTGAGAGAAGGAGCTGAGACAGAAGGCTGATAGGATGCACACTTCTTTAATGATTTTTTTTTTTTTTTTTTAAGTTGGGTTTGTTTGCATGACAGCTCTGAAATAGGATAAAGTACAGAGAAGGGCAATGCTGCATAATGTGAATGAGAAAAGGGAATTGTTCAGCTTTTTTAATTTAAATGCATGAAAATCTCTGCGAGGTCTGTGCATGTGTGGTGGGGGAGGGCATGAATTTAAAAAAAAATTATGCTGAAGTAAACGATGACTCCAGTGAGAGAACAGAGTCAATCTGAAGGCTCATAAGCACTGATGAAATTATAAATATGCTAATAGTCCCAGACTGTGTTTCTGGATGCTGAGTAGGGCATTGACTCAACAAATACGTCAGCAAGATAGAATTTCATGCCAGAAAGTCCTCTGTAGCTCTTCAGAAACGTACCGCTGTGGTCACAGAGACCTGGCTGCAGGGATGGGATGGATGCTACTGATGCGATACTGGCTTGCCCATCCACAGGGAGCTCCTGAACCTGCCAAGGTGGTTGTCTATGGGTGGCGACATGCCAAACTGCCTTTGTCAGAGCCACTGCACACATCCTGCTCATCCTCTCTGCTGCCTTCATCCCCCCACTTTTTCCCTGGCACCAGCACCGCTCTGCAAGGGAAGGATGCAGCCCTGCAATTTGGCCTCGTGGGGACAGAGGAGAGGGATGGAAAATCCGATAGATTCAGGCCCAGACATACCCATGGAGGGGCCAGGCACCCCAGGGAGAAGGGACTTGCAGGTTTGATGGTGGGAGCAAAGAGCACATGCTTTGCTTCCTGCTTAGTGGTGACACAAAAAAATCTCAATCTGTCACATGCCGCCGGGGATGGCTGCCACCCGCGTTCTGGCTGCCTTCCTCCATGCTTCATTGAACAGGGGCCATCTGTGTGCTGAGGCGACCTTTGAGGGTGACAAATAGGAAGAAAACGCTTGAGAGACACTGGACTGATGCTGAAGGCCAGAAGATATTGGTGGCATCTTACCAATGGGAGGTCTTGCTGGCTTTGTATCGTCTTTCCCAGATGTCCAAACCCAAACAGCTCCCCTTTTAGCATTTGAGGGAAGATCATCATCTCTCACAAAGCACAGGCTGAACTGAAAACTAAGGAAATAAAAATCAGGCCGTTATAAATAACAACCAAGGACTCCATATCTAGTCCCTTATCCCCAGATCTCAAAAACCCAAATCCAGATGAAGCCAATTAATGTAAAGAGCCACATATGGTCACTATAATACATACATTTCAGTTGTCCTGTGCAAGCCAAAGCATTTCTGCCACATCATCAAATATGTTCTATCTGTGCACTCTTTATTCAGTAACGATTTGTTTATATATGGTTATGGTGCACCCTGAAACACATAGCTTACTAATTAATTCATAGCCACCTGGAACGGTAGTTAGCACAACAAAATCTGGAGCAAATCCATAAGACTGATCATGAGATGTTCATGCCTGAATCACTGAAAGTAGTCAGCCTCAGTGTTTTTAAACCATGTAAGGGGAAAACATGCATTTCAAGTTGAGGTCCAAGAGGCTGTCCAGTGCTAATGGCAGATCTGAAAAATCAGGCTCTGGTTGTGCAGGGAAGTGTGGGCTTGAGGTCCCTGGCCTTCAAGTCTGCTCAGTGGCAGCATGAGGATGTGCCTTTCAATACCATCTTAGTGAGCTGGAACCAGAGCAAGTGCTGGAAGTATTTTATCCCATTGAAGCATCACTGCCCAGCATTGTGCCTCAGACAAAGTTATCCTGCCAACAGATCATGGACTGGAAGTTTTGTGATGGAGAACTACAGATCCACATGGGACCACTGTACAGAAACCAAACAAAACCAATTAAATTTGGGTGAAAGATTTCATATCCTGTGTGCACATGCAGGAGGGGAGATAAGTTGATACAAAATCTTCTGATATTGCAACTTCTGGGTTTAATGCTCCCGATATTTTAACATTTGCCACCTTGCCTCTTCTGCTACCATGAAGAATGACAATGACTGGGCATTTCTTGTGCAACTCCATGCGGTGCGTTTGCTGCTGATCCTGCAGGAATTTAATCCTGCTGGAAATGCAGAGGTGGGCTACAAAGGATGAACTGTTTCCCATCTGCATTTAAGCTCCTTCATGCCTACTAAAGGGCTTTGCCTAAAATCAATGACAACCTGCCCGCTCCCATGCCTAATCGTCATCAGTGTGTGAAAACAGAACCCAGCGTAGTTAGTAATTATCCCTTCATTATGCCAATGTGCTTCTGATAGCATAATCACGATCAAAAGACACGTGATTCTCCTCTAACCATTTTCTGTTTGTAAATTTAGCTTCTTTTTCTGCTATTAAGGATTTTTTTTAAAAAAAAGAAACAACACCACAAACTCCCTTTTGAAGCCTGTGCCTGTCCACACAGCAGTCAGTGACAAAACGTCCCCTGACCTGAAGAATCAAGACTCCGAAGCTGCAAACAACAGGCACATGAAAAGGGAGGAGAGAAGGGCATGTGAAAAACATCTAAAGCGCAGTTTGAAAGAGAATTTGGTGCCCATCACACATGGCTCAGAATTTGCACATCATCTAGGGGAAATATTCATTAGGATTAGTTAAACAGCACTTTCCTTCCTCATCGGCTTTTAACCATTTATTGTTTATAGTGGAGTCTAGGAAGCTCTGCAATAGACACTAAAGCATTTAGGAGAGACAGCAGGAGTCACTCCAAGGGAATAAGTTAACGCTCAGCATGTGCCCTTCAGCTGGAAATCATAAAGCATCCCTAGAAACATCTAGCTGACCCCTGAGCTGGAAGACAAAAAAGAAAAGGGCACCTTTCCTGCTCCCTATGGAGGCAGCTGCCAACCACCAACCTTGATTTGTGCATTACATACGGTCTTATGGCAAATTTGATCCCACATTCTGCCTTTGCCTGCATAGCCTTTATATTCACCCCTGTCTCTCCTCTTCTCCCTGTCTTTAAGGATAGCCTGCCCTTGACAGTCTCTTCCTCCTTTCACTACCTACCCCTTAGTTCACATTCTTCCTCGTAATGCCGATACCGTCTTCTCACCCATCACCTCCAGATATCCAGTCATTATAGTTTTTTGACAAATAAAATAAATTAAATAAAAATAAAGAATAATAAAACTGACGATCCTGAGAAGGTATTTGCTTTGGATACTGCACAGAGAATTTAGGAATCTGGGATCACTCAGTTTTATGAACTGGGGAACTGTTTTACCTAGTACCTTTTTTTGCAGAACTGATCAGAAAATGCTGGTCTGAACTCTGAAGTTGTTGTTTCAGGACTAGTGAGTACTGGCAGCTGTGTCTGAGATTTTGAAAAGGACAAAAGACACCTGTAATTTGTGTCCAGCTTATTTAGTAAGGTAGCACTGGGTTTAGATTAATTTGTGCATTATGCCATTTTACAGGACAGCAATGTCAGTGGCTGACTGTCACTTCCGAGGGACTGAGCTGTGACATCTGTACAAGAGAGCAATGATGTTCTGGTGGAGGTGAGAGCAGCCGTGCATCCATTTGCCAGTGGTTGAAGGACTGGTCACCTCTCATGCAGAGCACAGACGAATAGCCACAGTGGTTTAACATCGACTCTATTAAAGCTCTTCATTCCTCTGGCAAATTGAGTTGACTTTCAGGACAACTGAACTATTCGTGCCTCCATCCAGTCTGTTCGGTGCTGTTAAATTCCAACACAAAATGAGACTCAATTGGAACAGCAGAATTGGTAATAGATAGCGCAGCTCCTTGTAAACAGATCCTCTCATCTCAGCTGATGAGTTAACAGTGAGCAATCACAATAGTTAGCAATGCAGATAAAGCCTAACTACTGACATCTGAGCTGGCAAAAGGGCATGGGGCTTGCACATCAGAGTTGGAGTTCCAGGCTCCCTCAAAACCGGTCAATCACTTCCTACACAAAGACCAGCAGTCCCAAAATAGTGTCACATTTGCCACCCCTCAGCCAGAAATTCTCCCTTTGGACAAGCATAAACCTCTGCGAGTGAGGGTGAATCCAAGCCCGAAGCTCTCACAGCGCAGTTTCTGGGAGCAACCCTTCCGTTCATCCTCTTCTATCACAAGGACGTGCCTCTTTGTTCTGAGGGGCTGTCCGTAACCTGTGGCTGGACTCCAGTGAGCTGCAACTTCTCTTTCTGTGATCTAGCAATGAGCACACCTGCTCTTGGCTTTCAGAAAAGTCCAGCTCTGCTCTTCTCTCACAACAAAATCCTGGTATGGTCAGCAATTCCTCCAGATTAGTCTGAGAAAGCTGAACAACCCCCCCCACACACATACAAGCACCTCTACAAACATTTCTTCATGCCACTCCCAGTGCTAGGTATGCTTATTCCATCCTGCCTTTTCTCACTGAAATTCAGAAGAATGTGTATTTCTTAAAAAAAAAAAAAAAATCAAACCAATCTCATACAGAGAAAGCTGACCAAAACTGGGCATGCCACTGCACCTGCATTTTCCCCAGAGGGGAGGATGCGAAAGCAAGCAAAACATGGCAGACGTTAGTCGTGGTGTTTAATGTGCTGATGGAAGGTGCTCAGATCCTATAGCGATGAGAGCTCAGAAGTCTGGAGTGCAGAAGCCAAACACTTCAAGATGAGCTTTTCATGTTGCTCTGTTTTGAAATACTTCAAGATGATGTGGCACAGAAATAACGTAGGCAACGATAGATTTTCCTAAGCAAGACAGAATGATAAAACATTACACTTTGTGATATACAGCTGAAATTACACTACCTGAAAAGGCAGTATCTCATCTGAAACACTGAGTATCAAAATGATTTGATTTTTCCATCAAAATGTGGAGAAGATGAAGAACATTACAGCAAAATTTATTCAGATTGAAATACAAGCTGTCCTGCATATACAGATATTTGGAAATCACAAATTGCCTTCATCTTTTCCAATAATTTTGATTTAACTAAGTAACTATTTCAGCTTGTTTTTAAACTGCAGTGACAGGCATGGTTAAATTCTCAGATGTATTAAAAAATATCCTTAAGTGAATAAAAAGGGAAAAAAAAATCAGCTTACAGTTTGTGCATGTTGCATTATATCATCATTTGACTTCAGGATGTTGGAGTTTGCTTTATCAGGATTTGACACTATCTACTTGACTAAGCAGTAGCTCAAACACACACACAAAAAAGTAATGAGAACACTGAAAATGTCATGCCTGTGAGCTTCAAAGCAGCACAAGACTTCGACTAATTTAACACCGTTTTTACTCTTAAAGGAACTGCTTACCCATCGATTCATCTTTCCTTCACCCAGGATCATCCTGTCACTGTTGCTCAGAGCTGTAGTGCCTTTCTCTCTGTGCAGTAAAAGAAAAAAAAAAAAAAATTACAGATATAATAAAAATTTTCATGGCCTCTGCTTAAGGCTTCAGAGCTACTTTGTGGTCTTTGCAGCAGGGCTCATTAAAAATGCATTATGCGAGTGAGAGAGCAATAGCCTGCCTGCGCAGAAAAGGTTTGCAAAGGTGTGGGGCAGTTAAACGAGAGAAAAATTCTCTCCCAGGGAAATCAGTGAGAGAGTCTGCTTTATACTTCTTGACTCATGGCTTTGATTCAACCACAACGGCACAACCAACGTCCATCTCATTTCTCTTCCCTAGGGAGAGAAATCCCGCCCGGAAAGGTGGGCAGCGGTTGCCTGGTGCCTCTTGTGTAGTGCCCTGCTAATAAATAAACAGAGCAAGCATCTCCCTGGACAAATTGAACCTGTGATGGGCATATCCTGAGACAGTGCCAGCGACGTGACCGGAGTGGGTGTCCCCAGGGCTCGTTGAGAGCTTTCCCATGAAAAGCCCCATCTCTGTGAACTACTGGCATGAGCTGTGGGAAAATATTCCCTAAGGAGAGCGCCCACACCACCCTAAAATCCTGCTCCTGTTGTAGCAACATACTCCAAAGTGTAATTCCAAAATAGATACAATTCAGTGCCGCCAGCTGCTGATGTTAAAAAAAACATACCCCATCAAAACAACAAAATCCAAAACATAATGAAACACGTTGCCAAAGCCCGGGATGTCATTTAGATACAGCAAGAAATAGAAAAATTTGCCCATTATGCATCTTCTCTTACTGGAGCCTTTAAATTTTGAATGTTTCAGCTTTTCTCTGGAAGCAGAGAGGGAAGAAAACTTGCCTTTTTTTCCTTTTTCTTTCTTTTACTGAAGGAAGTGTGCTTTCACTCCAAGTCATATATTGCATAAGATGTTTCGGAAATCAGGAAGCAGATCTGCAGTACCATTCAGGTTCCTTCTTCATGCTGAATTTATGATTACAGGGAGCTGGGTATAATTTCATTAAAAATTTAAAGGGAGCAAAAATAACCAGTCAAAATTCACATGCAAAGTGGAAGCTGTATTTTTTCACAGGCGAAAATTGATTCTACAGAAAAGAAATAGAATAAGTGCTCTTAATAAAACAGTTTTTCCTTTTAACCAAAAGACATTATTAAAACAAGAAGCTCTTCGAAAAATCCTCACCAAATATACTTGACAAAATATCCAAGTCTTCCTTCTTTCCTTGCTTTATTTTTTTTTTTTCTTTTCTCCCCTTTAAGGGAATTCTTTCTTTTTCTATTCTTTTGTTGTCACATCTGTGAGGATATTTGTGTTGCTTCTTTCAATATATTTCAGGTAGCCTGGCAGCACGCATATTGTAAATCAAATTAAGATCCAGACAGGCAACATGAAGGGCTAAAAAAAGCCACTGCAAATCAGGGAAGAAGTGGGAGAGAAGCTGGAGTCAGGGCTGGAGCCTGGGGTCAGCTGTGTGGGTGCAGGGGGTGGTCTTTGCCGGTCCCCTACCCTGCATGGGGACAGGTTCGTCACCCTCTGTGTCATGAGTGGCTCTGCCCACCCGTCCTGCCACACATCCAGAGCTGCTGGGCCCAGCCTGGCTGCTAAAATGAAAAAATAAGGAATAAAAGCAGCAAAGCAGGGTGTGACCAGTGCAGAGGAAGGGGCTGCAGGAATCACACCCCATCTGCAACTCTTGTGAACGGCTGCACCTTGCTCTGGGAAGGAAATTGTGGGTATTTCATGAGAAAATCACCTTTTTGGAGGAAACTGCAACACATGTTCCTGTGCTAATTCAGTATGAATAGCTCCTTAGCATGGGAGATGTTACAATAAGCACTTTTGTACCTGTTCTCTCCTTTTGACACCAAATATAGTTTAAGTTATAAGAATACACAAGAAGGACAGGCACGTCTGCAGGCGTGTGGAAGTGTACACATCAGCTTCTCGGTCTGCAATGCCCAAACATAGCCAACAGTCCGAGCAGCTCAGGGGGCTGGGGAGTATTGACACATCAGGAGCAAAGTATAGCAAAAATGCATATTCTTTTTTCCTCCTGTCCATGCTGCCTTCCTGAGTACCAGGAGAGGGGGAACACATTGAAGAGACTGTATTGTACCAAGTGTCAGATGGCATCATTAAATTTCAGATGCACCAGCAGATAATTTAAATAAAGACCAACAGGCCCAAGGACACACAGAAGCGTTATCAGACGTGACTCCAAGGATGACAGGTTGTAACCACAATTTCCTAAGAGACTGCAGCTGTGAACTCCCTTTTTCTTTTATTTTTTCCACCCTCCCACTCAGCAACCTTCAGAGACTGAAGTTTAAGTCTCTTTTAAGTTGATGTGCTAAAAAGGAACCAAAAGAAAGCCTCAAGGAGAAGATATTGGCTTTAGATATTTGATCCAGATTTTTACATTGCTATTCTATGTCCAATTCTAAGGAAAAAAATATCCCTTTATCCTCCGATTCCCTACCTAATCAAGACTAGGCTATTTTACCCAAATAGCCAAGCCACGTTGCTTAACGCCGGCATTGATTTCAGCCCCTGGAGAGTCAGATCTGAAAGATTTTCCTTGAAAGACTAGTCAGGAAGGAGAGTAATTCCTGCTGCTGCTGTCACAACGCCCTACCTTTGTCACAAAATATTACTCTTCCCGTCAAGAAAACAAACAGGGCAGCAGCGTGCGGAGGGACTGCGGGAATGCAGAGGGCGGTGGGTGCAGGCAGCAGCCCTGCCCTGCCCCGAGCAGTGGCACAGCACCCGCCGGCACCGCGCAGGACCGAAAAAGGATGCTGCAGCCCCAGCTCGGCTTCCAGCAGGGCTGTGCATTTTGCCTGCCTGGGGGAAAACCTCAGGGGACGACGGCCCAAGGCACGGCCTCCGAGTTGCTGCAGGAACAGGGCTTTTATCACGGCGGGTCTAATATTAGCTACGACTTCCTCGGTCAGCAGATGGCTTCAATGTATTTTTGTAAACCCAAGGAGGGAGACAAGAAAAACTACAGCACCTTGGTGGGTGTCTGGTGTGATACACAGCACATCATACCCAAGTACAGGGCATCTTCAAACCCAATCCCCCCCCAGCTCTAGCAGGACTCCTCTGTCCTGGGGAGGCAGTGGCTGCAGCTGCCCCTGCGGAGCTAGGAGACCTGAGCCTGACCCCAACCCTAACCTGAACCCAGCCTGCTTCCCGATGGAGATACCAGGCAGTGGACAAGCAGAGCTTTCCACGCAAACAGAAAACCTTAAAAGGTTTCAGGGTTCTACCACCTCACAGGGTAGATTTTGCCACAGGTGGGGAGAAGGAGAGGGAGGGTTATCAGCAGGCAAAATAACGTTAAAGGTCTCTCTCGTGAGGAAAGCAAACTTTATTAAATGCTGCAGAGAACTCCAGCACAAGCTATTTAGTATCTCAGTTTCCCAGAAAATTTGCAGCAGGAGCATGAAAATGTGGGGAACTCTCACTTACAATTCCCTTTTAAAGTACTACCTATCGGACAGGCAGGAAAGACCAAACGTTTTGCATGTCTTCCAGGAATCACCATTACACAGAGAAAACCATAATTAAATCAATGGATAAGCCAAAAGCTACAACTTGTTTTTCTTTTACAGGTGCCAACTCCAGAGCAGAAGATTGCAGCTCGGCAAGCTGATCTTAGAATACAAATGAAGAGTACTTTCTGTAGATGTCCTGCCCGTAATAAGATGTGGAGAACACAATCCCTTCGTCTCCCAAAATCATGCAGATGAAACCCAGCCATCATTACACAGCTGGGTCCCTAGCAGCAGCAGAGAGAAAAAGGGGGGATTTCAAAATAGTTTCAACTACAAGATGAAGCTGTTCAATTCAGTCAGAAATTGACTCAGAGGATTCCCTGTACAAATGAAATACTGTGCCTGGGTTTTATTTCTTTGCTTTCTAATACCTTTTTTTTTAAAAAAAAAAATTTCTAAAGTTTCCTCACATGTTTCTCTGTCTTGCCCTTCACTAAAAGAGAAACATATGCTGCAGAAGTATTATCCAGCCTTCAACCCAACGCAGACTCTAGAACGATTCTTAACCTCATTCCTGCAGTCTCATATACTCATCATATCAACTATAGCTAGATCTACTCTACCAGCACAGCTCCTGCTAAAGCAAACATACACTTCTAAGAGCAAGCCCTAACCCAGACCACTGGTCTCCACAAATTCCAGACTAAGGTCAGCTTGATACCTCATCCTGAGCCCCGCCTTCACTCCTATGACTCCCAATATCTGTAAAACTAAATGTATCACTGCCAATCTTCCATACTAGGAAGAAGGATTTCCACTAAGCAGGGCTCACCTGCTTCTACTTTCCCCTCAATCTCCCTTAAATCTCACCCTGACCTTTGCTTCAGTACAGCAAGGTTAACTGCAATGTGCTCATACTGGCAAGCCAGCTCCTTCTCAACACTGCCTTACACCAACTTATCCTTATGTGCTGACAGTAAATGAAGCAGAAATAATGGAATTTTTTTCTTTTTTCTTTTTTTTTTTTTTTTCAGAAGAGCATCCCAGAAGACCTTGTGCAAGGTCCATGGCCTGTGCTGTCCACAGAGATGCTGTTGCATTGCCATCCTGTGTTGCTGTTTCTCATGCTTTAGTAAAGGCAGGCAAGACCTGGAGATTTTCCCTAAACAGAGATGCAAAGATGAATTTACTGCTTCAAGAAACAGAACTGGTGGTGCAGAAAGCCACCAATTATTGGATTATGATTTGCTTTGGAGCTTTGCTGGCCAAGCCTTCAACAAAGGCATTGATACTTCGGCTTTTCTCTTTTGTTCTTTTGGGTGGATTTTTTGGTCCATTGTTTTTGTCATATTTTTTTTTTAATTTGTTTGTTTATAAAAAGGTCATATAGTCCTGTCTCCTACCTTCTTATCTGAAAGTTTATTTAAAGGAATCATCTCCTTTTTGCCCTTAGTTAACCCCAAAGGAATGAGAAGATTCTGATAATATTAGGAAAAACTTTGT